TCTTTTCTACCTTACAGGTGCTCATAAGTATTACTTTTTGAGGACTTCTTTGGCCTGACTAGGTGTGTTTCCATCAGCTTTTTCACTAGACATGGCTGGTAGCAACATTGCCCTTATTGGCTGACATTTTAATAAAAAGAACAACTTGCCAGATAGCAATGCATTCTTTAAACGTTCCTCCATTACTGATCTGTGGTCACATGCTGGATTGCATCCTCTACTTCCTGTTTTCTACAGCCAAGTGTGACAAGCTAATATGAACCACGACTTAGGATGCCTTTGCATTTTTTTGTTAATTCGGTTCAAACCAAATGGAAACACTTCAAATTAGCATTTAATTTTTGTCAAACTTTTAAAAAGTTATCTTAAAATTCACATTTCAGGTGAATGAAATGGCTACTGTTCCAGATAGTACATGAATGATTGTAAAACATCACATTTGAACTCACTCTACACTAAAGACTCGAAGACACACACTAATATTGAGAGATCATTTATTCAATTAGTGACACAAAAGGGAGTTTTTGATCCCTTTAATGACATCAGTAACACCTTGAATTCAAAAATGCATAAAAAGTGTAGTACAAGTTGAGAACGAGGACAAAGTGACACAGTTCATATTTTATAAAATCTGTATTTATGGGCCAAAATATTCTTCCCAAAGAAATTGCTCAAATCATATCTCATCCCTTTAAATCCTTACAATCAATGCTTTGCATTTTAAACTTCTTAATCGATTCTTCTTTTTTCAGTTTTTTCAGCTTTACGCACTGCGAGCTGCATCTGTTATACACAATCAATTATGGTATGAAAAAGAATTGTCTGAATGCATAGTTTAAGTCTTTAGAGAGAAATCAGAATTGGCATAAAACTGCAAGGGGCAACACAAAAATCTGATAAGTGTACTTCTGGATGCAGCAAGTATTTTTCTGCAAACAAAGTAAGGAAAAAAAGAAGTACCCACTCTTGCAGGACAATGTGAACTAATCTCTGTCCAGCAACCAGATGTATGACATGAAAATCTCATTTTTGCATGCAAAATTTTAACAATCTTCTAGTAGGCAAAACTAGAAGTAGAGCAGCCAATCGTACCATCACCTGAACTGCTCCCAACTGTTTAAACGTAAAAACATGAAGGATACCGCTCATCTGAACAGGGTGAAGTTAAGTTCTGGGTGACACACTTAAGTGCAACGCCGAGAGACTTCACAGCGAGTCTCAGATTACAAAACTGCCTCTCTGCTGTGATTTCATAAGAGCCTTTGAAAGATATATTGCTGACTGTGTGTGCGTGTTTATGTGTGTTGCGCTGTTACAACATTGATCTCCAGCACTGATCCACAAGACTGAGGGCAACAACACCGAGGCATGTCATTCAGCACAGAGAAGAATCCTGTTTGTAAACAAAGCCATGGCAACAGCAGGACTCACGCCCTCTCTCACGCTCTCTCTCTCAACTTTCAGCTCCCAGTGAGCTTATTCTAAACTAGACCCCATCTTGTCATCTACCTGGATATGACCCAGAAATACAGCCACTGGAACAAATAGGCCGCCGCCATATTAATCTCCACCTCTCTAAATTGATGGAAATATAATTTGGTGCGTTCACATCCCCCCCCTGCTCTCCCTTTCCTCTCTTCCAAAGCGCCAACGGATCTCGAATTATCCCTCGTAACCATAACTTGACCTCCCCTTCAGCGGCGCTCTTATCTCCGGCTCTCCTCCACGGTGAGCACTGAGTAAAACATAATGCACCATACAGAACGATATCTTACAGCCTGTAATTGCACGCTCGCTTCAAAGGAAATAAATAGGTAGAGGAGGGTGTGTGTATGTGTGTGGAGGGGGGGGGATTCAGTGCAGATATTCTAGGTGAAAAGCTTTAAAAAAAAAAAAAAAAGGCAGTCTGAGTGAAAATTACAGAGATTCTGTAATTGCAGCTTCAGATAAAGCTCGGCTCTTGGCAGGTAGAGTAAGAGTCTGCAGAGATGTGCCCTCATTTCCACACCGGTGCCGCGCTCAAGCATGCACACGCGTCGAACCCCTTTTACGCATTCATGCGTGTTGGGGAGCGAGTGCGTCGACGCCTGTTTGCGTGTCACAATTGTCCTGTGCGTGCTTGTGTGCAGGAAATGGAGAGAAATAAGAGACAGAGAGAGAGGGAGGGAGGGAAGAGGGGAGTGGGTTTGAGGGGTTAATGAGCGTGCTGTCTTAGGCAGTGTGCAGTGACAGGAAGACGAGACGAGGCGTCCTTGCCAGAATCACCTCTCCACAAGCTGCTCTGCACACACACACACACACACACACACACACACACAGGAGGAGGACATGTAGCCTCAGCACCTCTGAAACACACACATTTATATACAAGTCTGTAAAGCCAAATCAGTTTTCCCGTTGCTACAGCAACAGCATACTTTTATGTCAACTGCAACCTTGTTACTATGGAGATATGTATACAAGAAAAACTCGTAGTCGTAGTCAAGGGCCAGATGACAGCCAGGGTGTGTGCTTCTCACACTCCCCCCCCTACACACACACACACACACCCTCTCCATCTTTCATCCATTTTGTTTATTCACGCACAAACGATTCAAATCCTGTTCTGGTCAAACCCAGACAGCAAAAGCAGTCACCCCCCCACTCTGGTATAATCTCCATGAGGGTGAGCATTGATCCTTGTTGCCCCCCCCCTCCGCCGCTACCTAACAACCCCATGGGCAAGACCGGATCTAAAGGCTGCTGGCATCTGTGCGATTAAATCCTCCGGTATTAATTTAGCGCTAATTGAGAGAAGGGATTCGCTCCCGGTTTACCCCAAATGGATAAAAGAAAATAAAAAAAGTGCTTGGGAAAGCCAGCATTAAAAGGCTGCATCAAGACTTAAATCAAAAGCGAAACGCTCTTCCCACTGGGGAGGCACAGAACGTCGGATTGAAAGAGAACTATGAAAGCAGAGATCATCAACTATTGATAAGGCTGATTCTGGTACAGCTGTAGACAAAATACAGAATGTGTTCGACTTCACGCTGAATGTTTCTGCTAGCGGCTGATAAGTGTCTGGCTGCGAAATGAGGTCCAACCACACATGATGGAGTGATTGTAGGCTCATACATGTGGCCGGTGCTATTTAAAAAAACATGCGGGTGAACCGCAGTTTGCTAATCAATGACTGTGGTTGTCCTTAAGCTGAGAGATATAAAGAGCATCAACAAATTCAGATGTTTCATCTCAGAAAAGATTTTATTTGGTTCATAATAAGCTTTATAGGGCTGACAGGCTGTCGGCATCTTTTCCAGATATGTTAGAGAAAGCTGTCAGAAGAAAATCGGCTCAGTTTTTGTTGTCTCCACTGCTGCCTGGCAGGGAGGTGGAGGACTGGGCTACAGAAAGGTTCTGATGACCCATAAGGATTTTATATCCAAGATGGAGTACCTTCCCTTGATTTGAACCTTTTTCACCTTCAGTCACATAAAAAAAAACTTCATTATATTCAGAGTAATAGATAAAGGCAAAGCAAAGCCTTATTGTCAACAAATATCTGAAAATCACTCTAGCACGGAGATATCTACACTAATTCTCTAATGTTTTCTAGCTCTGAACTTTGACTGGGCCATTGTGACATATGTATGTTTTTTATTGTCCTAATAATGGTTTGTAGTCATCGTCGACCTGGAAAGTTCAACAACTTCAACTAACAGGCCATCTTCTAGGTTTGTCCTGTATTTAGGACCAGCACAGCATAATGCTGCCACCGTTATGCTTCACTGTGTAATAATACACACAGGGAGACTGGCTTTTAACACGTGGCACAAAAGTCTAAAAGGTAAAAAATAAAGTTTCATCAGAAAAAAAAACATTCTCCAAATTTAAAGGCAATTAAAAACAAATATGCAGGTCAGGCTTTTAAGATTTTGATTTCTAAAAATGTATAAAAGCCATGTAGGACTTTTTTTCTTTAACTTTACAACTATCTGCTTCATCGTCTTTGTCTAAGCCTTATTAAATCCATTAAAGGTTACCCCTTTAAAATAAGGGTCCTGCTATAGGCTGTTAATAGTTACAGATATGTTATTAATTGATCTGTAAACACTTTATAACTCACTCATAAAGGTTTATTATACATTAAATGTAATATGCACGGTACAAAAATGAAGCTTTACAAGTGCTTACTGTGCTCACAAGGTAATTAGGGTTGAAACAATTAACCGGATTAATCGTGATTAATCGATTATTTGAATAATCGTCAACTAACTTGGAAATTGATTAATCGTTAACTGGAGTATAGAGGCTTTAAAACATGCCTTTAGCTGAGAGAGTGACCCACTTAGAACAGGAATTATGCCAAAATTGTAAAAAATATATAAATATTTTGCGTTTTAAGATAAAAAAAAACAACTTTTCGTCTGTCAGTATGCTCCATCTAGAACTCCTTAAGTGCAAACATTTAAGTTTCACCTGGTTTAATTTCATAGAAGTTTGTCTTTAAGGAACCTCTGATTATCTGATTATTAATCTAAAATAATCGACAGATTAGTCGATTCGCAAAATAATCATAAGTTGCAGCCATAAAGGTAATAACTGTGTCTGATAAGGAATACACACTTGAACAGAGTAGGTTGAATATTTGGCCATTAACTGCTCTGATTAGTCTCTTCCTTACCTAATGAATAAGAAACACTTATGAATGAGTTATAAAGTGTTTACAGATAAACTAATAACATCCATAAACTATTATTCATCCAAACTTGGAGCCTCCTTTTAAAGTGGTAGTTATTCAACTATGGTGCAACATGACAAAAAGTTTAACTGTTTCTAAACAGTTTAACTCCTTAAAAATTCTGTTGCAGCAGCATGTAAACATGGATGCTCACATTTTCTACTTATTCTTAATGAACACAGGCCCAGTTATGTCCTGCCGGGAGAAGGTTTGGATAAATGCTTTGTTACTCTGGAGCTCTAAGAAGTTTGAATGATGGCAGAAATGTTGATTTCATTACCTGACTGCGATCTTTGTCCACCTTCTTGAAACACTTGTTGAGCGACAGATTGTGTCGCACTGAGTTCTTCCAACCTGTCGGAGCGTTTGCGAAGTAAGGGAAGTGCTCCAGAATCCAGCCGTAGATGTCCTTCACTGGCAGCCGCTTGTTCGGCGCATCCTCGATGGCCATGAAGATCAGGCAGCTGAAGGAGTACGGAGGTTTCCGGTTGGCCCCCGCCGCCAAGTCGTACGCTGAGTGCGCGTCGGCGAGCAGAGCGTCGTCCGGGGATGGGGATGAGGAGGAGGGCGAGCGGGGGTGTTGACTGTCGGGATCCTGAAGGGGGGAGACGCTACGCAGCCCGGAGTGGCTGAAGCTGTTGAGGAGGTCGGTGCTCTCGTGGAGCCAGGAGAGGCTGGTGAGCTCCTCGTCTTCGGCTTTAGAGAAAGAGGCGGACACGGAGAGCGAGAGGTCGGCCGCCTCGGCCTCAGACGCCGCCGTGGCGGCGTCCCCCTGCCGGTAGGGGGGGCTCATGCCCTGCGAAGCACTGGCTCCACTGCTGGGGCTCTGGGCCTTCTTACTGGGGGGCATGGTGGGTCCCATCCAGCCCAGGGCGCACTCCTGCAGAGCAACATAGGTGGAAGGAGAGGAAGATGGGAAAAGAAAGAATAGAAAGAAGGTCAGCACGTGAAACACAAGTCGTTCATTTTATTAAGCCTTCACTTTTGTTAAAGGTCAAAAAGGAGGAGATTTTGACTACTTTTGCAATTAGGCTGAATTACATCTGTGAGGAAAAATCTGCATCATCATTTCCCTGTGGGGCTTTCCGTCTAATTCTGACTGGTGCGGCAAATTTAGTGCTTCAGCGGCTGAGGAAGTCTTTCCTTGTACAACTACCCTCTAATTACCAGTGTAACAGCACAGTATTGACATTACACGGGGTTGCTGTCATAACACGTGAAAACTGTTAAAGGTCTAATGGTTGCAGGGGCTCAGAAGCCGTGTCGGTGATTTAACATCTCTGCAGCAGGAGAAAATGGAATCGTCAGGGGCGGCACGATAATTGAGAGCAGAAAAGAGCCCCCCCCCCTTAAATCTCAAACTCCTGGATTTACAACATCAGAAACAGCATCCAATGATGAGACTTAGTTCCACAGCGGGATATCTGTGACAAGACACGATCATGATCGGGGTAATTTACCAAGAAAAGAAACAAATTAAAGTGTGAGTTCAAATCCATCCCTGCTCCAATCAGACCATTATCCTGCCAACATAAGAGCAATGCTGAGCTCGTTACACGCAGGCAGAGCGCAGTAATTGAAGGGGAACGGGCCTGAGCGTCACACCACAATCAGAAGAAGGCGCACAGCCGGGCTTCTGATTGTCCTCTAGCACAGACAGCTGTGGGAAGGCGCCCGGCAGCGGCTCCAGCTAAAACCTAATCTGCTCTAGCCGCTCAGAGCCTGAGAACAGACACACATCCGAGCATAAATCTACACCCATGCAGACAGGAAAGAAAGAAAAAAGACACTCGCTGTGTTAAATGGAATTTTGGAGGGAATATAATTAAACTCATTCGTTTGTAAAGGTGATCCTCGGATGCTTCCCTTACTGACAAATCCTGTTTAAAGAAGTTGATGAGATGTTTTATTGTACGCATCCTTTCCTTGCAGCTAAAGTGAACAATAAAAAGTGGGCACGGTTGCCTTAATGTGTCAGAGCAACTTGATCAAATAAGATAATTGGCAGAACTCTGTAAAACCTGACAGAATGCACAAGGTGATTAAGCCATTTGATTAAACACATTTATAAAAGTTTATAAAGGTTGCTTTTTAGTAAATGGAGATTAAAAGGCCCTGGGTTCTACCAATTCTAGAAAAAAACACAACCGGAGAGCCCAGGGGCCACCCCGCCTGACCCCAAATACAGAAAATTTGGAGAATCACGATGAAACCCCCCACAAAAAGAGTGCTAATTTAACAGATGGTGATGCAGTTTAACCAGTATCCTCATTCATTGAGTGAATTGTTCTGCAGAAAACACTAAAGGTTTATAGAAATTAATATATCAGCTCAAGAAAAGCTGCCATAAAACTTAAGGCAGATCAAGTTTCTATATTGGGTCAAATAATTTAAGTTTGTAATGAACATTCATTGACTTATTGATAGCACTAAAGCTAAATGGCTCCATATTATCTGCTCTTATTGGTTCCCTGCTGATAACTTTTAAAGCTAAGCATTAAACATTCACTTTTACTCAAGTTTTTCCACAGTTTACTGTCACTAAATGCATTCTTTAAAATACACAATTTTTATGCCTTGTGCAGACTGCATGAAAATAAAGGGGGGTGCTTTTTATTTCGTTCTACAGAAAAGACCATGAAGTGTTCTTAACTTCATTACATGTCTGTTAGTTTTAGAATAGAAAAAAAGTTGGATTAGGTGCAATCGATATGCAATCTACCTGAATTCTACATTTGCAGGAACCTGAAGCAGAAAGATGTTGCCCCAGACTTTGTAGGCCCTGTGCACATGATGTTTTGTGGTATAAAACAGAAAAGATTAGTTTGAAATGTTGTACAACACAACAGCAGGGTTTAAAAACCTGTTCCAGGGATTTAAAAACATCCCCTGTGTCTGTTGGGGATGGAGAAGCCTTGGCACATACTCAACATGACTTAAATCAGATGAAATTAGTGGCATGGCTGGAAATTTACTACTATTTTTTTTTTATTTAAGTCATTGTTTGATTTATAGATTAAGCTCTAGTGAAATAAAATGCATGCTTTGGTTGGTTTAATCAGTGTGAGAATGCAGATGCAGCGCAGCGCCATTAGAGCGTGAGGATTATATGCTGCGGTCCGTCTCTGTGTGCTGCGATCGCTCTCTAATCCAAGGTGATCATCGGCCGATCTGTCCCCCCACTCCCCGCCATTGACTGACAGCTGTCACCCATGGCGACCGGCCGCAGCGTGACAACTGTCAGCGCGCCACAACTCTGGCTGCCATGTCACCATGGCGACAGAGCAAAACAACTCATCTCCACTCTCGTCTGCCTTTTCTTTTCCTCCCCTACTTCCGCTTCCTCCACCTATCTCCCCTTTTTTCACATTTTTTGTCAGCACAGATAGATGTTTAACAGCGCTGACAGGCCGATGTGGAAGGACTGATCTAAATATAGAGTTCTGATGCATCAGGCCGGCCCACAGTCACCTCTTTATTCCTTCCCACTGTCTCCTAGGCGCGGGAAAACGCTTAGCCTGAGCTGGTGCGCCTTTGATCTCTCTTCCGCATCCCATCGCCGCTCCCCTTGTTTCTCGTCTCCCCGCTGTCTGACAAGCGCGCACGCTCATTCAACAACCTGTACCTGTCTGAGGTACAGCCATGTTGCACCAATATTGACATTGAGCATAATGAATTCAAATTGGCCCATTGGCGATGTAGCGGCTGAAAATAGTGAGTGGGAAATCAAAGAGACGGGCGAGGTGGAGAGGGCATCCCACAGGCTCTTCATGGTGTGTGTGTGTTGATGCCTGTTTCTGCTTGTGACTGCATTCGTCTTGAGGAGGAAGAAAGGACATCGCGCTGACATTGTTCCTGGTAGGAGTCCACCGGAATGCAGAGATGCCTCTGATGCTCTCTTTCTCTCCCGTCTCCTCATCCTCCTCCTTGTTATGTTGCCATAGCGGCAAGGGGGCCATGAAACATTACGGCTGACAGTAAAGTCATCTCATTTTACTGTTGCTATGACAACAAACTCCTCACTGTTGGTTGGGGCCACTGCGAGCTGCCGCCCAAGCCTCGTGCCTGAGTTTGTGCGTGTTTGCGTGGAGATGCGTGTGTGTTTGTGCCACCGAGTATCCCATGGGCTCCCATAAAGCTTAACACACTAGCTCAGCTCTAAACAAACTTCCATGCAACTTCTACAGTGGCCCCCGAGGACCCACTGCTAAAGGACAAATGCAGATATCGCTCAAGTTCAGACTAAATGATGCTTGCTGGGGTGTGTTGGTGTGTGAGTATAAATGAGTTGTGTGTTAGGAGCTTCCTCGCATTTGTTTGACAGATGGGACTCTGCTGTTCTCTCTGTCTTCCTCATTCTCTGGATCTCTTTTGTGTTTGCGTGCTTGTTTTTGATTTGCTTTCGTCTCTTTTTGGCGTGTCCACATCGGGCTCTTTTTTTTCTTTTTCTCCCCTCATTCCCTTTCCTTCCCCTCGGGTTTGCATATACACGTGCGCTGGACTCCAAGCGCGCAGTCTGATCCATCGCTCACATTCTTCATGTAAAGCTCAGAGCATACCAGCATAATTTAAAGCAGTTGAAGTCAGTACAGTGTGTCTTTTCTCTCTGTGACCCTGAAACCACGCTGCTTCTGTTTGCACTCTGCACCCTGAGCTTACGGACTTTAAAAGACACCATTCATTTAGAATAAATGCCTTTCTCCACTGGAAACACTAATCTGGAATGGCTAGTCGCTGCTGGTACACTTAAATTACACTGTTGCTATCATTATATCGCTTTAAATGTACAGTAGGTTCTTAGATTTTTTTTTTTTTTAAGCAGAGTTAAAATAATGAGTGGATTAAGAGAAATTATAGCTGCTGGATAAAGCTTTTATTCAGTCAAAGCATTAAATTCATATTATTTTTTGCAAAATTTACTTTGATATTCTTTAGGAAACCAGGCTATTTGCCTTTGACCCATTATTATCAGGCAAACCAGTCAACAATTCAATATGTAGACATAAAAAAAACAGGAATTATAACTACTTGATGAAATATCATTATTCATATTTAAGCGAACAGATCTGGGTCTCATACATCTTCCTAAAGGAATCTGTTTAAATGTTAGCACTGACTCTAAGATAATAAGATATGGACAACATTATACAATTAAGACAAGTAGGCCATTATTCTATGTACTGATTTCAGCTTATTTTTCTAATTATTCCTTTCCCACCAATAGGTAAACTTCTTGTACCTGGTCTCAACAACGCCATCTGTTTTCAAACTTTGAATTTCCTGACTGAGAATTAGGTCACATTGGAAGAAAATGCATCAGCATCATCATGCCAGAAGAAACCAGAGAAGCACTGTTGTTTTTGTTTTATGTCGTTAGTTTTCAATCAGATAATTAATGTCTGATACATCCGACATGGCAGCAGAGCAGCTTTGGTACCCAGGTTTAATGTCCATTCTTTAAAACATTTGGCTACGACGGTTTAATCTTGAAAAAATCATATATAGTCATATATTGTTTTTTATTTTTTTTATTTTGAGTGACTGTTATATTGTAGTCTCATATTTGTGCAACACTGCACTGTTGCAAAAAAGATTGACCATCCTACATTAAATTCTGCATCAGAGAACTAAAGTATATTATAGTATAGTATAGTATAAGTATCTTATCTGTTTGTTTTGTCTACAAAAACTTTTAAGCTCTGTTAGCTATGTTGTGTTTAAGCGGAGCTCAGAATGGCAACACTTCTTAAAGTAACTGTATTTACTCTCACTTTGAGCAGGTAAATAACATGATTTCCCAATGGAGGGAATGTTTTTACTCTTAAGATAAGATAATTACATAATATGAACTTGAAATAAGACAATTTAATTGTTCTTTTT